AGTTACCTAGGGACGAAAATAGATGAAGCTGGATCCTTGCTAGTTGCCAAACTAGAGCGAGTTGGGAAAGAGATCCTTGATGAGACTGAGGAAGTAGCTGACAGAATGGAGGGGGTAGTGAAGAAGAGTTATGCTCAGGCCTTAGCAGGGCCACGGGAGGTGGCGGAGAGTAATGCAAGATCCGAACAGGTTCTACAGCAGCTAGGGACTCTGAAGAAGTGTGTCAAAGAGATGGTAACTAGCAGACCGACTGTTAGGGGATAGGAGGAACAACGGGAACGTTTCCAGCGCAGGAGCAACGTAATAGTTTATGGAGTCCCGGACAGTCAGTCGGAGGAAGCTGGGAGTAGGAAAACCCACGATAAGTTGCAATTTGAGAATATTTGTACGGAGGTTCTGAATATGCCACCCACCCCCCTCAGGATGTGAGGGGGCTAGTTCAAGACCAGGAGGACAAGCCTCGCCCCCTCAGGATCACACTAGTGAGTGAAGAGAAGAAATGGGAAGTTATTAAGCAGGCAAAAAATTTGGCAAGGAGTGAGGCATTTCGGAATATAGTCATTCACCCAGTTCGCACGGTAATGCAGAGGGAACAGCACAAGAAACTCCTCCAGGGCTTGAAGCAGAGGAGGAAGGAGTCGAGGAGGAACGGGGACGGGTGTACACGAGTTATATCCAGGAGAAGGGTGGTGGAAGCAATAGTGCCAGCAAATAGCCAGGGGGCAGCAGCACACCCCCCACCCTCTCTACCTCCCACCCAGGAGGAGGCAAGCGCCATATAAACAATGGCATCTCTGACCACCCCCGCAAAATACAATGTATCTTGCAAATGCTGCAGCTGCTGAGAATAGAGGGGGGTGGGAGTCACTACCAAGAACAGATATATTACCGAGAACAAATTCCGGCTTGAAAGTCAAGTACACTAATACTGACACGTTCCTTGATAAGAGAGAGGGGAGTTTGAAACAGTACTGAAGGTACATCAACCCGTTATAGTAGGAGTTGTAGAAGTGACGTACAAGAACAGGAGCATCGACCCAGAGGAATGAGAGTTCAGTATTGCTGGATATGACTCATTTACGAACCTTTCTCAAGAACTTGCAAGAGGGGCGTGTCATGGGTTGCGCTGGGCCCCCCGCACAACCCATCCCAAATAGGGGTCATCTCACGCCTCAAAACCACATTTTAGCCAGTAGGCTTTAGACCTAGGGTTATAGAAGACCTGCTCCGCGTATTTAGAACAGGGGCCATACAGTGCTACGAGTCTCTGTGTGCAAATCCCCGAGATTGTTGTTAAGTCCAGCGACAAGTTAACACATCCAGTAAAGGAAGTGATCAATGGTGAGGACCTGTTTGCTACAAGAGCACTCCAGGCCGGCCTAATAGATCTAAACGATTAATTCTCCAGGTTGACAAACTCTCCCTTATAACTGTCAGTTGGTTGAAAATGTTCAAAGGAGGGCCACCAGACTGGTGCCTGCACTTCGGCACCTCAGCTACCCTGAGAGATTGGAGCGCCTGAACTTACCTAGCTTATACTACAGACGGGCAAAGGGGGACCTAGTTGAGGTGTATAAGCATCTCAGGGGGCACTACTCAGTTGAGTGTCCTTACTTGGAGCTGGCGGACGTTCGCCCCACAAGGGGTCACAGCTCAAGATTGAAGAAGCCGCAAGTCCAGAAAACCGTGAGGGCAAACTTTTTCGGAGTGAGGGTTGTAAACTCTTGGAACAATCTACCAGAGAGTGTTGTGACGGCACCGAGTGTGAGCTCTTTCAAGAGAAGACTTGACCAACACTGGAGCGGGTTCAGGTACAATTGGTACATTCAGGAGCCGGTGCATGCCCAGTATTTGCCAACAGTGCGTGACAGAGACGTGACCGATTGCCCGGGCGGCTAGCGAGCCGATCTTTTGGTGAAGAATATAAATGAAAAGAGACGTGACCGATCGCCCAAGCGGCTAACAAGCCGATCAGTGGCGAAGAGGATAAAAGTAAAAGTAACTTACGGTACTGTGGCGTGAATGTGAGTGACTGACCTATCCATGTAAATTATAAGTCCAGTGTATGGAATTGTGCCAAATAAACGTGAGTGCAATTATCTGCCCGTATCTGTGACCCCTCTATTATTATTATTATCAAAGGTAATGACTGATTGGTTATGATAAGTATAACCAATAACTTAGATGGATGTTGGAAGTTAATGGAATTCATAAAATCATCATTTATCAAGTACACAACGCATTGAATGCCGGAAGCAGAGTGAAATTCTACGTAGTGATACACCATAATCTCCTGGGTGAGTAACCAGTGTGAAGGTATCGGAGTTCTACGGTAAGAAAACCACTTTCTTGCATTTAAAACTTAACAGGTGTGGTTATTTATGCTTGGCAAGACCTTAGAGCCAGCCAGGCGAGGGTACAGCGAGAGGATGTTTTTGAAGAATCCAAGTGGTGTAAAATTAAATCAACGGGGGGAGACTTACTTATTGTCGGGAGTATCTACAGATCCCCAAACTGTAGCTTACTAAACAAAGGAACTTAAGAGCCTTAATAGAAAACGCAAACACGCTCAACCCTAGCCGCCGCCACCTTATCATGGGGGACTTTAATTATGACGACATCGACTGTTGAAATGAGTCCACGCCAAATAACTTAAATAACCTCGCTACTCTTTTTGTAGAAACTCAGAGATCATTTTCTGTTCTAACATGTTAAGGATCCGACGCATTACAGCGAGGAACAAACACCCAAGCCACTGGTCCTGATCATTACAAACGACAAAAACAGGCCAAGGTGCAAGTATTATAATGGAAATTACAACGGGATGAGGGAGGATATATATATATATATATATATATATATATATATATATATATATATATATATATATATATATATATATAGAGAGAGAGAGAGAGAGAGAGAGAGAGAGAGAGTATTATTCATGATTATAATTAAGATGTTTAATACGTCTGTAACGGCTATAAAAATTGATAATATATTATTTTAATCATGTTTGTATATAGGCCTAAATACGTTATAAACACAACCCACTGTGACTTCTATCTTCAACCCTCACCCCTTTTATCCAATTCATTAAAATAAAAAATAAAAAATCTAATAGTGATAACATTTACAAAAATAGCAGTGAGGGTAAACTAGAGCAACTTGTCCGACACAGCGCGACAAGGAGCACCAAAATTACATCGCGCATAATGTGGTAAAATATAGAACACGCAGCATAATGAACCTTGCCAGATGACAATGCCACACGCCAGATGCCAAACCAGTATGTTTTGTCCCGCAGCTTCCTGTAGAATTCATGTCTGACATGCCAGACGCACTCTGTTTGATACGAGATCTGGTGTCTCAGGCCTTAGGAGAAAAGTTTGCTCGTTTCCCTATTCACAATATCATTTTTGGACAAATGAAGGGGAAACATTGACATGATTTCGAGGCAGTCAGTCAGTCACACATATTTAAATTTGAATTTGAATATGCAGTTTTTGAGAGAGCAAGCAAGCAAGCGGTAACACTGAATGTGGAAAAGTGGAAAAGACTGGGGCCTCTTTAAGGGTGAAACACCTTGAGGCTGTATTGTTTTCCCGGGAAACCATTGACAATTCATTAACTGGAACTCTTTGTCCTTGAAATTCTTTATTACAGAGAGGCTGCATTGTCGCCATAACGATTGTATCTTATCGGGTTATTAAACGCAGAAGTTCTATAATCATATAACCCAATGCTGCATGAAACTTAACCGTGTGTTAAGTCAAACTTGATATAGTTTCCTTAACGTCCACAATTCCTTAGTCAATATGATTGGGCCATGCCTATTATAATTATCATACTGTCTAAGGTGTTGCGGGAGTCATGCCTCTGCCTAGTTTCAAGAAAATCCATCAACCTCATCAAGTCACACGTAGAAATGGCGACGGACACGACGACGCAAATCGTTCCACAACCTCCCGCAAACTCAAAGGTATAATAATTACGATTCGTTGCTCAATGCTTAAACAACCCTCCTTAAAAAAAAGTAGTGTACAGCAGGCTAAACACATCTAGCAGGGTCAGTGATTATGTTGTTTGTTAAGTTAATACGGTGACTGAGTGGATACAATGCTCGCCTACTGTCCTAAGAGAGTTAGTTCGATGTCGAGGTACCCTCAGTCCACCCAGTTATAAATGAGTACCTAACTTTATAAATGGATGGCGAGACAGTCGAGTGCAGTGTCGGTCATGCTGCAATACCAAGTACCGGAGGCTCCAGTTACCGAAGGCTCAGTATACAGCTAATGTGTCCAAACTCACCCTACTGGACCCACTTTAACTTTTTTTTTTTTTTTAAAGTGCGATCACATTTGTTTTAGTTTACGGTTCGCTTATTAATTTGGGCAGGGTATGCTGCCTTATTTGTCTCAAAGAACAGAAATTAAAAAAAAAGAACAGAGCTAAATAGTTTAAATCGTGACTGGAGTGAATTTGCTATACTCCAAGTAAAGTTTTCCCCACTGCACATCCAATAACGCTTTTAAACATATTCAAGGCGATCAAATTTTATGCATAACCTGCAATGCACACACCAATATTAAACCACCAACAAAAGTGGACTAGCCTTTGAAGAACTGGAGAAATTGCCAGAAAATAATAATAATAATAATATAATAGTAAAAATAATAATAATAATAATAATAATAATAATAATAATAATAATAATAATGAAAGTGTCTTTCTTGTTTACTTGAAATAGCAGTATGTCTCGGAAAAATTTACAGATTTTGGTGGCGAAAGCGTAAAGCTTGTATTACAAGAACAACAACATGTTCTCACTTGATGTTCGAGGTCTCGCACAAACAAGAACAATGTTGATGTTGTAATACAAGTATTCAAGAGATTTCCACGAAAATGTGTAAGACAGTGTGAAATATGTATAGTATACAGCTTTCCGAGACCCCGTATTCTGCATTATAAACCACACAACAAAGAACCATGACACCTACCTTGGAGTTCCTAGCGAGCAGCTCCTGTAGATCATCATCCAGGGTAACGGAGGAGCGGGCGTCCCTTGTTTTGCGGGCGGCACGGGCAGTGTGGGCGGTGTAGAGCGGATGGGTGGGGTTAGTGGGTGTATCGTCTGGTAGATCCCCATCTCCCCCACAACACTCGTCCGTCCACGTCCGGGAAACTGTGGGAGAAGGAGAGAGGTTAGGGAAATGTTACCCAGCCGCTTCTCAGTGTTCGGATGGTAAAGGTTACAATCAGAGTGAAACGTTCAAAGTTCAAACACCAAATGAACTATTTAAACAGTTGAAATAAAAGTTAATTTAAAATAAAATGTCAACTAAATAGGAAGGTTTAGCGTTCTAACACGTAATAAACTACGCAAAATACGATTAAAAAATTTATATATATATATATATATATATATATATATATATATATATATATATATATATATATATATATATATATATATATATATACACGTTCACATGAAAATTATGCAAAATATGTTTTCTGTAAGAAGCTTTTGCTTCGAACTAGTTGAAAATTCCAAAGAAGATGTTTTAATTCAACTTTACTCACTGACAGCAATGGAGTCACTTAATTGTTCGAATGAACTTAAGCACAGTACTTTGACCCAAATAACCTGATCCAATTGGCACGTCTTCTACAAATCATATTTGTATGTATTACTTCTCCACTTACCAGCCGTTTGGGATGTTGGTCTGTTCTCTGCTACTTTTTTATGGCCTTTTCTGTCCAGTGTTAGGGCCCGCTCACACTGAACGGACATATTCTGGCGCAAATTGTTCGAATGAGTTAGTCAAGTAAACAACACATATCTCACACCTCATTCGAATCACATCGAATTCGAATATATCAAATTTGATCCTAGAGGGAAGACAGTTTTTCTCTCCCTAGTAAGACAATGAGTCATGTAACAAGTATTAAGGTGCGGCCACACCAAGCTTTTTTTTTTTTCTTTTTACGGGGAATAGCCCACCCGGGCTCAGGTCACTGACCCACATCGGGGCCTAGGGGCGGAAAAATAAGAATACAAAGAAATTAAAAATAGAAAAGGAAAAGGTTATACTGTATTAATCTACACCACGAAGATGCCGGAAAACCATCTTATAAGGCGAGACAAATTGTATGTGTGGAAATGCATTAGAAGGCAGAGCATTCCACAGTTTGGCTGTGTGAGGAAAGAAGGTTAGAAACAATGCGGACAACAGCTGGTGTAGATTGCTGGCGTGTGTAACAACGATGGCATCGTTATTCCACAATGTTACTAACATTGTTACACTGGTGTGGATTCAATGCAAACATTGTCAGTAATGGGTGTTGGCTACACGGTTAACAACAATAGTAAAATGATTTCACGAACATGTTGTCTACATTACAAATGGGAACAGTGTTGGTAACGTACAATTGTCTCCCGATGATGCCGTTTATGTTGGCAACACTGGTAGTTAGCGCTGGTGTGGACTACAGGTGAGGAAGGTGTGAGGCACTGGCAGATAGTGCCGTAGTCTACCTGAGTCAACGTGTAGTGGAGTAAAGTGAACATGCTCATGGTAATTGAACTATGGTATATCATCCCCATCCATTTTGGTGGGATCCCACGAATGTAAATACAAAAATACGGTTTGAAAGACGGATGCATGGAAGGAGATGCCCAAATGTTAAATTTAGACAGCAGAGGTAGAAATAAAAACGAAATCATTGATTGGACAGTACCGACGAAGGGCAAATAAAGCAGCGAAGAAGAAATCTGGTGATGGAGCGTAATTGAGCAGGTAATAGTCCCATATCATCACGTTTTAACTCATCAGTTAGATCGTCCTTGTTTTCCTGTCTATCTTGTAGAGTTGAACTTCCACCTCACAGTATCATTGTTGCGGCTGCTGCTATAACGACCTCACTCGCCGACATCGTGTAGTCAACTAAACAGGCTGCCTGTCACTGCCTGTGTGGACTATATGAATACTACACCTCCGTTACTGACAATGTTGCCTACAATGTTACTAAAATATGTGCGACTGGTGTGGATCCAGTTACACCAATGTTACTACCAATGTTACCAGCTTTGCTCAAAAGTCTAAACTCTAAACAGTTATCTACAATGTTCCTAACACTGTTACGAATCGTTGAATATAAGCATGTCTACACTATCGTAACTTACGATAGTGTAGACATGCTTATATTCAACTTTGTCGTAAACACTGTTGGTAACTGTTGCTCAGCATGTTTACAACAGTGTTCCTAACAATATTACGTTTGTGTGGACTGGACTCTGAATTTTGTTGATAACAGTCGCCAACACATTTTACAAACACTGTTTGCGTTTAGTGTGGCCGCAAGGTGCAATAAGCTAAATGTGTTTTATCAACGATTCCGAGTCAGAATCCTTGGTTTTATACATCGCCGCCACTTAGCGCCACCACCGTCGCGGGATATTTATTTATTTTTTACATTGACCACCCTCCTATAGTAACAGAATCCTTCTCACATCTATCACATTTCCCAAACAGGAATTGAACACAATAGTGAGAGATACATGCATTACCGCTGGTCATGGTAATCATTGTGTTGTGGAAATGGATGATGTTTACAGTTTTTGCTACGCACAATATGATAAAATTATTTTAAACATGACCCAGACCAGCATACGAACACGAATGATGTTCTGGTCGTTTTGGGAGACAGCACTGACCCAACAGTCTTGTTTCACAATCATATGGTTTGTTTAGTTCAATGACTTGTGGAGAGAATGAAGGATATATGGAAGAATGCGGTGTAAACAACTTAAACAAGTTCAATTTTATTGACTTCGGATCATAAATTTCCTGTATTTCAAAATATAACACTGATAATGTACATTTTTTATTCCCTACCCTCCACCCTCCCAAAACGCCTAGTGAAGTAATACTCGTTTAATCAGACCATTATCCCTATACCATGTATAAAGAAAAAAGAGAATATCTGGCTAATGACCTCCAATACGTCGTTGACTGTAAATCAAATAAATTTATTTGAGTCCATATTTTCAGATTCGTGTATTAGTTTTCAACCCAACTGGGGCTAACACATTTATTTAAGATACAATCTTAATGCAATATCCGAGTAATTTTGCTAGCTGGGGGACGCTCTTACATCTTCAATTAGATGAAAATTATGGCGTAAGAATCTTTGAGGTTCCAGAACATTTACTGTTTTACCCCCTCATGTTTGAAATAATTCCTCCATTAAGTGAACTGTGATCCTGTAGGAAGGTCCAGTCGTGAGCCATTGTTTCTGGTCCACCTTGGTCGGAGGAGATAGTAAAGCCCCGTCTACACTATCAGTTCCCACCTGTGGTGTTCGAGCATGGAACGGTGAGTACCCGGAATACGAACGTGTAGACGCGAGCAACCGAAGCACCATCCCAGAACGAGGTAGTTCGTGAGCGAGCGATATAGTCGAGCGTGGGCACCTGACACCTATACGGCTACACGCAGTCTTGCCAGACGGCCAGAAAAGTCAGGGTTTCACCAGACACTGCAGCTCGATGCCAGACGTCTCGAGTTATGGGTAATACAGTGGGATATCACTTAAATGTTCAAACTTATCGAGAAAATGGCCTGAAAATCTCCCGGGTTTTCTCCGTTATACCTACAGTATATTAGTATATTACTATGTCGTCTACCATGTCACGAGGTTCATATGGTCATATCATCCGGCACACTGCGCGCCAGTACGTTACCATTCAGAGCCAAGGATGGATGTTGTCGCTGACCCTCCTGCCCCTACTCTTGCGCCACAGGAATCGGTTAATGAGGTTCCATTTGAATGGACAAAAATCCTCACATTACATTTAATCGAGAAGTACAGGGATCATCCCTGTTTGTGACAGGTAAAATGCGAGGCCTACAAGAAGAGAAATAAGAAAACCACACAGCATATAATGACCTTTACCTGTCTGTTAAAGCAATGAATCCTAAATGCACGCTTGACATGGTAAAGAAAAAATAAACACCCTCCGTAGCCAGAACAAGAAGGAACTCAAGATGATAGTCTCTTCAAAGAAGTCGAGCTACATAAATTCATCCCTTCGCCAGGTACTGTAATGTAGTCTCCAGTCGTGTCCCTGCACCGATCGAGTCTCGCATGTGTGTTAACCTTTGCAATCTGAGGGGTTACTCTACCAAATAGGAAATGATACATGTCTGGCGACATACAAATGTAGTGCCTGACATCATTTGCCTCACCAAGATTCAGTTCACTTAATATTTGATTTAAGCTTCCTCTATTTCTGTCTATGAGCCACTGTTTCACCCATGGTATGCATTGTCTACACTTCTTCTTGCTTTTTATCACAAGGGATTCGGTCAAAACACATAATAGCACTGCTTTGCGGCGGCGATTGGGTCTAGGAGCCATTGCCCTACCTACACGGATAGCAGCCACCCACTCACTGGATAGGGAAGGGGAGTCAGTAAACGTGTGGACGGCCAAACTGCTAGTCAGGGGTCTATATCAAAGACTACATACGAAAGATAGGAAAGCTCGAGCTTTTGGGTGTGCGTGTAGTAAGGGCCTCTGAGGCAGATGGCGTTGGTATCGGTGAGAATATCGTCTGTTTGTTTACCGCATACGTCAACTTCGGTAACGCCTACAGTAGTTTGTACACAGCAGCATGCCTCACCCGTGCTTCCTGTGTGGAAAATCCAAAGAAATTCATCCTACTTTCATATTTCATCCATCCCCTAGACAACAGGAACAGTTGAGTGTATATACAGTATAATGCATTGTAATTGCTCATAGGAGCGATTTTGATTTGTGCAGAACAAGAAGACCCTTGTCGTTGACGCTTTGTATCTCCTAAGGCCTAAGCCATAGCATCGCTGTCTCTCTGGAGATGCCAGGTTTATTTCCCTTATTCCCTCCTCTGCCTTTTGATAACCAACTATTAAAGATCACACGATAATTATCTCTGGTTTATTGGCACGCGTCCTTGGTGGCCACACATGACCTCGTGCCCTGGCTTCTATACCTGAAAGTTAAAATAAAATGTTGTATGTTGGTCAACATTAACCTCTCCCTCCTGTCTGGCTGGTCCAACGTTTACGTTCGAGGGCATTTGTTTTGTTCTAGGTGTGTGTTGGTACGGATGCCTTGATTACTTGTCCTAAATATATTGTTGCGAGAAAGAGTCTTGA